GCATTGTGCACTTGCATTGCACATGATGTGGGTTCGAATCCTACATAGGCTTACATGTAGTGATCTTTTTAAAATGTAGTAAAAATGAATATAATTAGCTTATTTTTATTTATAACGACTTTTATAATTACCTGAAGTTTATATATAGTTACCTTATTTTCGTATATAATGACCTTTTTGTAAATGTCATATAGTTACCTTATTTTTATATATAATGACCTCTGTGGAAGTGTCATCAAAATTGATATATATATATATATTGACCTATGTGCAAGTGTTATCAAAATAGATATAGTTACCTTATTTCTATATATAGTGACCTTCGTTATTTTTATATATAGTGGCCTCTGTATAAATGTGGTCAAATAGATATAGTTACCTTATTTTTATATATAGTGACCTTCATTATTTTTATTTTTATATATAGTGGTCTTTGTATAAATGTGGTCAAAATTGATATAGTTACCTTATTTTTGTATATAGTGACCTTTATGTAAATGTGGTCAAAATTGATATAATTATCCTATTTTTGTATACAGTGACCTCTAAGGAAATATTTTAAAAATTGATATAGTTACCTTATTTCTATATATAGTGACCTCGATGTAAATGTCATCAATTTTTAATATAACTCGATATAATTACCTTATTTTTGTATATAGTGACCTTTGGGTTGTTTCACACCATCAGATTATCTAGTGAATATTCAATGGCTAAGATTGCTTGTTTTTAGTTTTCACCATAAACACTGTTTTCAGCGGAACCTCCCCGTATATATATATATATATATATATATATATATATATATATATATATATATATATATATATATATTTTGAAACACCCTATATATATTTAAGTACTATAATAAACAAGCAATATCATTTTTTTTTACAAAACCCTAAATTTTAAAAATAAAACTCGACCAAAAAAATTGTAAATTTAAGAAAAAAAACCTGATATGTGGTAAAGCTTGTTCTAAAGCATCACCATTAGAATCTTCATTTTCTTCATCAATGGAGGATCGGAGAAAATCACCATTGCCCTTGGGTAAGTGAGCTTAGAAGTTCCTTCAATAGAGGATCGGAGAAAATCACCACCGCCCTTGGGTAAGTGAGAAAGAGAGAAAAAGGAGAGATGGAGTGAGAAAGATTGGTTCAAAGGAGAGAGAAAGCAAATGGCAGAAATAAATGATGGAGCAGGAAAAGGGGAAAAAGAAAGACAGAGGGTTGAAGACTGAAGTCAACCAACAAAGGAATTAAGAAAAAGGAAAAAAAAAAAAAAAAAAAAAAAAAAGAAGCAAGGCATAACTGTCACTACACTATAGAATTGGAACAATAACACATGTTGTGGTTTTTAAAAGGGTAGAGACATAAACACTTAAGACTATTTTAGGGCCGGGCTTGTTATTGTAGATGTTGCATAAACAACCAAGACACATTTAATTTGCAAAATAACTACGCGGGTGAGCATGAGGAAGCTCAGACGGATCAGAATAAACTCAAATATCAGCCCGGCAAGCCCACCTCCAACCACGGAAGAAGATGAGAGAAGCTCACAACATTAAACTGTCAAGCAACTCATGGAAAACATTTCTTCATCTGTCAAAATCTTGCACTTCTAGCAGCTATAAACTGCATTGCAGCACTATCAACATAAATATGATTTTTAACATTTCAGAATAAGAGTGAGCTTAAAACTGCATTTCTTTCGGTCCATTGAATGAACTAATTTCGTGGGTGAAATTGTGAAAATTTTCGTCTAAATGAATAGCCTTTTGTTTTCTATTAGATGCTTGCCATGCTCCGAAACCTAGTCTTCAACAGAAATTATCCACATATAATGGGCTAAAGGGGCTACAAGCACCCCTATGATAAGACTCATAAAAATATGCAAAGAATCCACATATAACTGCAAGCAAGCAGTTAGCTAGCCTAGATAAGTCTACATGTTATTCAAACTTTACTCACATCATACATGTCTGATACTCCAATTAATTCAATAAAAATTAATCCTAAGCACGTTAAAGACTCGAAATCTTACAAAATGCTCATAATACAAATGTCAAACTACTCGAATTTTAACCCATTCAAGCCTTTTACCATCATAATGTCTCCCAATTCCTCTCCAAAAAATCAGGTAGCTCACTACTAATTCAGCAAAACTAATTTCTACCAATAGCCAAGATCAAGCACAAGAAAAAAGCCATACAAAAGCCAAAAAATTGCCCCTTTAAGCACATCTACTAACCAACCCAAATTAAACAAGATGACCAAACTGTTTTAATTCTTATCTTAACCTCACTATTGTCAATGATAATTTAACGAGTCATCCAAGAAAAACACGAATTCTTCGAGTCACATTTTGGCCAATCAGTCTTACATTCCCAACAAGCAAAACTCACACACAATTTATCAAACCAACTGTTAATCCAATGAAACATTCTTTTGTTTCCATATCAACACTTCTGATAAATCCTCCCTTTGCATAATCTCAAAATGAACAAGGGTTTGCACTTTGACAACATTTGAGAACATTTTTTCAATCAAAACCCCAGCAAAATTGTTGTTGACATGGATTTCATTGCAAAATTAAAGCAAACAATCTCCTACATACAGACCAAAATGTTTCATAAATTCCACAAATTTCCCATTTCATTAAATAAAAATCACTCATTAAGCTCTTTAGCCACCTCATCATCATTAGGGAAGAAACCCATGAGTCTCCCAGCAGAGTTCTGGTAAGCATGCAAGAACCAGCCCATTAACCTGATAAGCCCGCTCGTCACCATTAAAGGATCCTGAATTCAGCTTAAGCCCTAAATAAAAATAAAAAATTCACATTAAATTCATCAAAAATTTGCAAAGTTAAACCCCAACATCGAAAATTGACATGAAGAACACAAAACATAAGTGGTACCTGACATTAATTGAAAAATCAAAAGGTTCCAGTAATTGACAATCATGGAAGGCAGAAGTAGGGGCAGAGAAGTTACAATCAGGATCAAAGATCTGAATATCATCTATTAATAATCATCACAATAACACAAATTAGGAATACTTGGGACACCATCTCAGTAAATTGCTGGAAATTCCCAACCAACGGAGTCGGAATGCCAGCGAGTTAAGAGATCGTAAATTCAACTTTCTGGGTTGTATATATAGTTTTTTCATCTCACTGAAAATAATGGGTAATTTGCCGGGAATTTTATCCTAAAATATTAAGCGCCAAAATCACCAGTGAAATTTAGCCGGGAATTTTGACTCCTTTTCCCTCATTTTGGCGCTGAGAAACCAAAAACTTCCCTCCCAAAAGCTTCCCTCCCAAAAGCATCCTCCATTCCCACTCAACCGAAAACTCAAGTGCTGAGTTGTATAAAATTAGAGGTCGTGTATATGGAGCCCACATACACACGATGTATGCATATCATCTTCTATAAAAGCTTGATTTATAGATTCCCAAAGGTTCATGTTTTCAATCTTTTCGTTCAACTCTTCAGTTGCCATCTTCAACTTCTTCTGAACTGCAGCATCAACATCATTTCCCTACATTAGTCATTAGCTGATTTAGAATATCTAGAAAGAAACTCATACAGAAAAAATAACTCAAGACATGCTTCATAACTGAATATATATGCCTTGTGACTAATTACAAGATTAACTATGTTTTTTCAACTGTATTACATGTCATCAGCAGGTCGTTAAGGCTTGTCACTTACCATAGTAAATACAAAAGAATACATCCTTTAATAACAGGAGGTGTAAACATTAAGTAGCAAGAGAAATAGAACACTCGAAGTAGTGTTATCATGCTCAGGACAAAAGAGATGGATTGTTCAAATATTTCTTCACAAGTGATATAAATATGTGTGACAGAATTAAATACATGAAGAACCTGATCGAAAATCTCAACAGAAAAATTACACTTCAGGTGGGGGTCTCAATAAGCCCAAAGAATTAAGGACAAAAGATCTACCTTCTTCCCTTCTTTATGGAGCTCAGAAGCTCGAATATACAGCTCACCCCTAAATAGCATACTGGCACATTTTTTTACATTTTCATTCAATGCGTCATTAGTCCAAACCCTTCAACATTTTGGCCAAGACTCAAGTTAATGTCCCTCAACTAAAATAGAGAGGCTAAACAACAGCAAGTAATATGAGCTCATATCATAAACCTGAAATTCAAACATAGAAATCATAATAGATTCTGCACTAAGGCTAGACACTACACAGGCATAACATAGACAGATTTTATTACATATACCAAATTTCTTTCCATGCAATAATCCTACAAACTGCAAAAATCAAATAGACACTTTAGCATGCTTAATCACCACCATGCCATAATCCTACATCCTTCTTTTCCTTGTGACGTTTGCAGTAAAATAAAAATACTCCAACAGCTTAATTCAAGGAGAGTAAGAAGGGAAATGGCAAAAACAGAGACAAACACTTCATTGGGTCAAACCTATGAAGTAAAAATCATGTCTTAGTCCAATTGATCATATTAGCATAAATCATCAGACCAGCAGTCATTTCATCATAAATTCCACAAAAAAAAAAAAAAAAAAAAAAATCCAGTAGCTAAGTACTCTTCGAAATTCCAGACTACCTAAACTACATATATCAGTCACAAGAGTTCCAATCGCCAAGCATCATAATTTTCAAATTAATACTACTTGATAAAAGGAATGAACAGGAATACAGAAAAATAACGACATTTACCCAGAATTCAATCTAATTAACAAAAATCATGGTAAAAACAACCCAGAAATCTTACGATCTTGAAGGGGAAAAAAACGAAAGAAACTTACAAGCTGAGAATAGGTGATAACGACATCGAGGTTAGGAACAATTTGAGGACAAAAAATTTCAGAACCCATCTTCTTCTATACCACCAATTGAATAATACAATTTCCAGAAGACGAAATACTAAAAAACCCTAGAATTTAATTGTATTGCAAAAATACAAAACCTTAAATGCCTCAGTGCAGCAGTGTAATGAATCAAAATACAGAATTTAATTCTATAACATCAATAGAATAATCCAATTTCAAGGAAATCAACTACAGTAGATGAATGCCTCAGTGCAGCAGCGTAAATACATACTACATACAGAAAATCAAAAATATAAGGCACCTTGAACTCTTATGGGGCAACATAAGAACAACACTAACGGTCAGCCTATCAACTCATCAATTAAACATCTTTTATACACTAATATCGTAATAAGGACAGAGAAAGACCATGTTACAAGAGGGTTGTACTCAGCCCCTACATTTGCAAGAAAAGGGAAACTAAACTCAGCTTTGCCTTCAAGTGGGAATAAAGATAAACTGCAATTTAAGCACCTAACTGGAAAGCTCACTTGGCAATTGCATCTCTATTGCTGCCAGCTTCATTACTGTTATCTGGCAGAGTATCTAAATCAGTTCGATCTTTAACTTCTTGAGTGACTGAGGTATCAGCTTCATGATGGAGCTCAACATTTGTTGAGTCCTCTTTTTGGCCTTCTGACTCCGAGTTGTTCGTAGACTCAGCTTGCTCTTGCTCATGCTCATGCTCCTCCAAATTTATTTTCTTATTATAGTTCAATGACTCCTCCTCCAAATGCTGCTGCTGTTTGGAATCGTCAACTTGTTCATATTTCTCAGCATCTTGGTGATCATTTGCTCTTGTTGCTTCCTCTCTTTTTTCCACTGGATTCTCTGAATCTTGGCCATCATTTACTTTTGATGCATCCCCTTTCTTCTCCACAAGCTTCTCTGTATCTTGGCCATCATTTTCTTTTGACACATCCTCTTTCTGCTCCACTGGTTTCTCTACATCTTCGCTTTTTTCACTTTTGATGCTTCCTCCTCTTTATGTCCCTCAGAGTTTGAATTATAGGAAGAGTGAACTTGATCATGGTTGATTAATTCATTTGTTCCATTTGTTCCAGAAGGAGAATTTCCAGAGATATTTTTCTCTGGATTCTCCCCATTTGCACCCTCGTGACCAGATGTATCAGAATAGGATGTATGACCATCTGCTGAAGAGCCTCCTCCACCTTCAACATTGTTGGTGTCCTCAGTCTTAGAGACGGAGTCAGAATTTGCAAACGATTGGTTTTCACTTGCTCCTGCTTCAGTTTTCTCAGGTTTCTCTGATACAACTTCCCGTAGAACGGAATTATTATCCTCTTTAGTGCTTGTGTTATCTGTTGCATCATTTTGATTCAGTGTGACAAATGTTTCATCACTGAATGTAGTGGCATTAGCTTGCTTGTCTTCGCCAGACTCTACAGTTTCAGAAGGGAGAAAGTGAGAGCCATCAGCCGTATCTTGTGGAGTAACATCATGTTTTTCTCCAGCAGTTACTGCATCAGAAGACTCCTTTTCAGCAGTCTTATTTTCTGCGGCTTCTTCATTATTCTCTTTATGTTCAGATGCATTCAGCTCTGAAGTGGAAGAATCATTTTCCTTGTTTTGTTCCTCAGTAGCAGCTTTGTCGTCCTTGTTAATTCCATCTTGAACCTGAGCATCTGACGAACCTGATTTCTCTATCTTAGAGTCCTTATCTTCCGTACTTGTTTCTTCATTCTTCTTTTCGTTGTTGCCTTCTTCCTTTTCTTGACCTTCATTCTGTGAAGTGTCATTCTCTTTGCTCTCTTGGCTTTCCTCTTTGGCTTCTTTCCCGTTCACTTTCTTCTCTTCTTCATTTCCACTCTCTTTGCTCTCTTCCCTAATTTCATCAGTCTTGTTCTCATCAGATTTTTGCTCTCCACTTTCATTTTCTTTGCTCTCTTCTTTCTCTTTCTCCTTCTCCACAGCTTTGTTCTCTTCCTTAGCTTCATTTTCCTCCGCTTTGTTCTCTTCCTTAGCTTCATTTTCCTCCGCTTTGTTCTCTTCCTTTGTTTCATTTTCCTTTTCTTTGTTCTCAACCTGTTGCTCCTCCTCGCTTTTGTTTTCTCCATCATCCTTCACCTCATTTTCCTTGTCCTTATTCCCTTCTTGCTCAGCCTCTTCATTTCCCTTATCCTCCTCCTTCAATACTTCATTATTTTTATTCTCACTTTCCCCCTCACTTTCTCCTCCTCTTTCTTCCTCACCCTCTTCACTTCGTCCCTCCTCATTTTGTTTCTCCACACTATCATCCTTAACTTCCTCTTTGGGTTTTTCATCCACTTTCCCGCCTCCTCCATCCTCATTCTCTTCCGGCTTTACATCCTCACTTTCAACTTTCTTCTCCTCACCCTCTTCCACACTATTCCTCTCATCTTCCTCCAACTAAGGAGGATCCCTCCTTCCTAGCTTTAACCTCCCAATCCCCTCTTGCACCTTTTCCGAGACCTTAGTTGCTTCTCCGAACGTTTTCTCCTTACCATAAGAACGTTGGATTTGGTACACTAACCAAATACCAACACCCAACAACAAAATCAATTGCACCGCATGCTTTACCTTGATCCCCTTGTTCGACCTTGAACCCCTACGAGGGGACAATTTAAACATACTTCTCAAGTATCAAAATACCAATCAACCACCTAGTTTACCACCACCTAAGATCAAAACCTTGTCAAATGCCCAAAGTTTCTGTTGGTACATACAGATGCAAAAACATAAATTATATGTCAATCACCCAACTTCAAAGCGATTACAAATTAGTACTATCTCCTAAATTTAATAAAAGTAGCAATTTCTGTAAAACCTTGATAATTCTTTCAATTAAAAATTTAAAAAATGTTGCCACCCAAAAATTAAAATATCACTAAAACAGACTGAAGAACTATATATTACTGTAATTAAGATTAAATGTGAGAAATCAATATGATCTTAAATCACCACCTGAAACATAATATCGCAATAACTCAAACATAAAACACTGAAACTTGGACAACAATTAACAATATACAGTACTTATCTGGGAAAAATCACTCTATATTTCCAATTCAAATTAATACTTTTATTTACAGAAAACTATTTTTACTCTATTAGACAACTAAATTGGCACACCGCACACGTACAACATACCAAAATTATTACCGTATGAAGCACTATATTATACCCCATGAAAAAGGAAAGATCTATAAATCTAAAAGTAAAAGACGAAATAAAAAGGAAAAACTGACCTGAAAAAAAAAAAAAACTGGGTGTTTTCTTCTCTATGCAAATATTGGAAAGTATGATTCAAATTTGAAGTATGAAAAAAAAAAAAAAGGTAATAAAAGGAAGAAGAGAGAGTAATAAAGAAGAGGGATAAATGAGAAGGAATGTCGGTGAGTTAGGCTTTGATTTGTTATCTGGAAATAGAAATGGAAATGGAAAGGGCAAAACTCAGATTTGGATCTTAATTAAAGTATGCGAGTGTAATTGCAACACTACAACTTTAATTTATAATGACATTTTGCTTGCTTTTGGCTTGGTTTGTTTATCTATCTTCAACCGTAAACTGTACCCTTGCTTGGAGTTGCTTTCATGCACTTTTCACAATTCCCCACGACATTTAATGCTCTCTGACGTCGTTTGCAAACAACAATTTTAGGTATATGCTCCTTGAGACCTTGAGTGGTAATCAATAATGATCCGATCTGAAATCGACTCGAATAAAATTCGAAAATCGACTTATATAGTAATAATAATTTGACATGACTCAAATTTGAATTAAACTTGATCCGACCTAACTTAGACTCTCGTATTGACTCCTCTACTACTCATAACAATGTTTATTAATAGTTTAAGTAATTTTGTGAATTACTATTATAATTAGTAGTAGGTTAAGAAGTTTTGATACTCAAATAGACACTAAAAAGTAGATTCTCTTTTAATAGTACTCCATCAGTTTTAGGTTAGATATTGTTCCAAGTGTGGTCCCGGTGGTGGTGATAGTGGTGACTGGATCTTGACTGGACCTGCTGAGATTACCTACACAGTAGCGCATGTGACTGCCTTTGGAGTGGCTTGGGAACCCCCCTCCCCCCCACGGTTAAGTAAGTATTTGATTTAGTGAGAGAAAGTCTCTTTAGTGTGAGAAAGTATGTACAATGTGACTAAACCCTTTTCCGGTATACTTAAGGTACTATTTATAATTGTACAAACTAGATTAAGTGGCTGCTGTTATATTTAGCGGTTCGGCGACTTATGACGGCCTCTGGGCTCAATGGTGCTGTATTTTGGGTCAGTGCGCTCTATGTCCTGGGCGAGCTAGGAGCGAGAGATGCCTCAGCGGGAGCTATCCCATACAACTAGCCCACCAATAGATGGTATGAGGAGATTTGTTTCGGGTGTTTTTAGTCTCTCGGGAGAGTTACAATACTGATTATGCGCGCCTGACTTCTGTACCCGCAAAACCACGAAACTCCGGTTGGGTGGAGTTCCGCCTCCGAAAATCAAGTTAGTACGATTCCGGATGAGAAAGCGTGCGGAAAGTAAGTGGGTGTTTCTCTCTGATTCAGGGAGATTCTACAATCAATATTGCTCGGGATTTGTGTATGTATTTTATGAAAATCCAATAAATGAGGATGATTCCTCTATTTATAGCAGATGAGAATCTTCTCCCCCATTGGGGGTTCAATGCCACGTGGCATCCTCTGATAGGATCCCTTCGGGCCTGTATGAGGGTGACACGTGTCAGTTCTTCGGGCCACGTGGCAGGGGTAATTTTTATGTAACACCCCCAAATCTCCCTCTACGGAATATGTAGAAAAATACGTATAAATACCGTAGAGATTGACTTGGGCGTATTACCGCCGCGTGATAACGCAAGGCTTATACTTTAAAAATACTTATGCAGCGGAAATTCTTTATTCTTATTAATAAAACTTTAAATAAATCTTGTTCATAATTTGTGACACAAAAACGACTCCAACTTTTCCTAAGCTAGGTGAAATTCCCGTGGACTCCCGTATGCATCAATCAACTTTCACCTGAAACATTCACCTGCTTACCATAAATGATAAATAGGGCAAAGCCAAAACAAAAGCACGTATTAGCAAATTATGCTAAGTAGATTATGTGTAAGATAAGTAAAACATAATTTAAATCTTTTAGGTTTAATTCATAAGAATTCCAATGCCATACTCATGTAAGAGCTTTTCCAATTCAATATTTTCAAGACAAGTTTAAAATTCAATCTGATCAGGGGATTTTTCACTACCAATCACTATCTGACAAGTGGATCAATCAGGTTCCGCCATGTGTCTGCCATGGGTTAATAGGAGCCTGCCATGTGTCAGGCCTTGATCTGTCCGCCTTGGACCAGTTGAGTCACGCCATGTGGCCTTCCCCTATGCCAGATGGGAAAACCGGCCACCTAGGCCCAAAAACTTGTGGAAGCCCAATCAGCCCTAGGTTGACCTAAACCTAGGACTAGCACGCATCCCAAGACTATAAATACATGTACTAATCCTCATTAAAGGGGGTTACGTTCATTAATTACTCTCACCTAGAGAAAACATTCCATCTCTTTTCCGCATTTATTACTCCAAAAGCAAGTACTAACTTAATCGTCGGAGGCGGAGCTCCCAACACCCGGAGTCTTCGTTGTTTTGCAGGTACAGGCGCACGGTTCCAGTCTCGGAATTGTAACTCTCCCGCAGGACATCAGAAAACCCCGAAACACAATCGATTACATTTCAAAACCAATTCCTCACTAAGTGTGCATACCCCCCAAGTGGTTTACTTTATGAGCAAAGGCCAATCTTAAGGAAAGATTAGGTCATGCAAAGTCCATAGCCTTCTCTAATCCATTCCCTAAGTGGGATCATAACATATCGATTGATTTGCTTAAAAGCACCTTTTTTAAAATCCATTACACTTGAATAACAATAAACTCGTAAATCGTTTCCAATCCCTTTTAATAATTTCAATCACGATTCAAAATCCCCTTTAATTTAAATCAAAATCATTAATTTCAATCCAACATATAGCATAATTTCATAAAACATAACTTCATATGGAACGTGATATCATAAATTCATACGGAACATAAAGTATAATTTCGTACGGAACGTAGTAAAATATGATTTCATACGACACATAATAAATTATAATTTCATACGGAACATAATAAATCATAATTTCATACGGAACATAAAATATAGTTTCATACGGAACGTAATAAGATATAATTTTATACGAAACATAATAACTTATAATTTCATACGGAACATAATAAATTATAATTTCATACGGAACATAAAATATAGTTTCATAGTCAACTTTCGAAGGTATCAAACCACATAACGTACCTTGATCGTAACACGAGCGATTCACACAATACTTCACTTCACTTTACTTAATCACGAACATCCTACACATTATTATAACCTTAATTAATATAAGGCTATCAAATAAACACAAAAACTTAACCAAACTACGCTATATGTGCATGAATTAATTATAAAGTAACAATATATTTTAATAAAATAATTTTCTGTTATAGTTTAAATAAATTTTCTGTTTTTATACTATAATTTATGTAAGAAATAATACTTATGAAAATGATTAGTAATGTAAAACAAGATTAGGAGAAATGAGGAATTGAATGATGGTGGTGGAACCAAATCAAGGGAGGATCAAGGGTGGCCGGCAGAGGTGGCGGCTGCTGGTGGTCGTCGGCGGCAGCAGGTGGTCGCCGGTGGGGGTGGTCGCCGGTGATGGTGGTGGCCGGAAAATGGGGAGGAGAAAGAAGAGGAAAACCGTGAGGGAGAGAAAGAGAGGGAGAAGGAGATTTCTTGAGGTTTTTGGTGTGAGTCTTGGGGTGTTTGAAAGGGGTATTTATAGGTGTTTAGGTAATGGGTTTATAGCAATTTAGGGTTGTATAATTTATGGAAATTTTAAAGAATAGAAATTAGGGTTTTAAATGTATGGAAGGATTTTAGGTTTTATTTGATCATGAAATTTTGTTTAGTAGGTTTTGAGCTTGGAGTGCAAGTATAGAATAAGATCAAGAAATTTTAGATTTAAGAATAGAAATAAGGAATTATAAACGAATTTTATTTTTAATAAAATAAATTAAAATTATTTAGAAAATTCATGAGTGGCTGAAAATATTGAGCTTAATATTGCACAATAATTTCGGTCCCTCTATGTTAATTTATGGATTTTGTAAAATAATTTATTTGCCTAAAATTAATAATCCAATAAAATTTATTTGTGAAAATTAATAATTGAAGAATAAAAATCAGATTTTTATTAAATAATTGGGGCGGCCGAAAATATTGACATATGATAATTAATTAAATCAGATTTTTGTTGTATAAAATCCGAAAATTAATCTTTAAATATATATTTCATGAAAATAATTAATTTAGAAAGATATTAATACAATTTAGATTTTTATGCTATGAAAACCGAAAATACAATTTAATTAATCTACCGAATTAATATAATTTCGGTTTAGCTATTTAATTTTGAGAAATCAAAAATACTATTTATAACATAAGTATAAAATAGTTTCATTTATTGGATTATCCAATATAATTAGTTTTAATAAGACAAATGATTTAGGCGCCAAAATTTAAATATCATTTTGGCTCCAAGACTAAAATACTCTTTAGAAAAATAATTAATTTAGAAAAATACGTCAAAATACGAGACTAAAATACTCTTTAATTTAGAAAATACCTTTGAAAAATACGGGGTATTACATTTTACCCCAAACGTTTGCCCCTCACGGGTGTGACGTGGATTGCCATGTGGCACCTGTGACACTTGTCACCATGCGGAAGGGGGTGGCACCTGTGACACTTGTCACCATGCGGAAGGGCGACGATTCACCTCTTTCCCTCTATTTTTTCAAATTTTAAACTGGAGGGGAAGGTGACGGTTCACCTTCTGGAATTTCCTATAAATAGGAACCTCTCTCCTCGCATTCCTCACTTTGCCAATCTTGAGAGAGAAATTCTTTGAGAGAAAAAGAGAGAACTCCTGATCCCGCCTGCTTTTTGTTGAAAACGGCCTCCAACCTCAATACATTCGGATACCGGTTGAGTATTTCTTTGCCCGTCTCACTGAGGTATCCTTCTGACCTTGTCAATTTCTTCCATCTTGATTTTTTGTTAAAGCTGTAG